ATCCGTCATTTGGAACGTTCCCTCCCGAAGCGCTTAGCAAAACTATTATTTCCCAGGGAAAATCAGCAACAGAGAACAAGTCTCATCCTCCTGAGCAGAAGCCAAAAATAAATCTGAAATAGTGTCCTTGAAATAAGCAGAACCAGAATGAAAGGCAGATGATGAAAGTGGAGAGAGAGAGAGAGATAATCTTCCGGTTGCCTTCAAAAAAAAAATGTCCTCTTTGCAGGCAACCTTGATGGAGAAGAACGTATCCACCATTCCTTCGCCAGGTAGGACGGCACCAATTTATATATTTAGTTTGTCACTCATGTACAAGACAACAGGAATAAGAATAAACATGAATAAGAGCACAGGAGATGGGTACGAATAAATGGGGACAGGAGGACAGGGACAATAAGCACGCTGGTGCGCTTATGCACGCCCCTTTAATGGACCTCTTAGGAATGGGGTGAGGTCAACAGTAGACAATTTAAGGTTGAAGCTAAGAGGGTTTGAGGAAGTAACAACGGAGTCAGGTAGAGCATTCCAGGTGTTGACCACTCTGTGGCTGAAGTCGCATTTTCTGCAATCGAGTTTGGAGCAGTTTGCCTTGAGTTTGTATCGATTGTTTGCCTGTGTATTATTGCGGTTGAAGCTGAAGAAGTCGTTGACAGGTAAGATGTTGTAGCAGATAATTTTATGTACTACTCTTAGGTCAGACCATAGGTGGTGTAGTTCTAGGTTGCCCAAGCCCAAAATTTCAAACCTGGTGGCTCTCCCTTCTAGCACTGATGATGTTACCTAGTTGGGTAATGAAACATCTGCAAGAAAACCACCAAGCTCAGAGAGCATTAAGGATCCCCACAGTCCTCCTCCTCCTCCTCCTCCTCCTCTTCCCCCGCCTCTTCCTCTTCCTCCTCTTCTTCCTCCTTCTCCTCCTCCTCATCTCTGCAAATCCCTCTCCCTTCTAGCACTGATGATGCTACCTAGTTGGGTCATGAAACTTCTGCAAGAAAACCACCAAGCTCAGAGAGCACCAAGAAACCCACAGTCCTCCTCCTCCTCCTCTTCCTCTGCCTCTTCCTCCTCCTCCTCTTCCTCCTCCTCCTCCTCATCTCTGCAAATCCCTCTCCCTTCTAGCACTGATGATGTTACCTAGTTGGGTCATGAAACGTCTGCAAGAAAANGGCATACAAGACAAATAAAAACTAAACTAAATCCAGCCCCCCCCTCCATGACCAGGTCATCTTCAGCCAATGAAGATTCACCCAGGTGTTTTGAGAACTGTGAGATGTTGAGTGTAGTCCCTATGCCTTCTCAGGGTGGCCTGGCCTTGAATGCTGGCACGCACTGGTTCCAAACTCCTCTGGTCTTCATCAAGAGGTCACTCCCCCCCGCCCTCTTCACCAGCACAACTAATACAGTTTTATTTGCCACTGTTTCCCCCGTGCTTCCTCCCCCCACCCTTAGTCTTTGAGGGCAGGAAGCCAGCGTGGCTCCAAGCGGAAGATGGCAGACCTGTCAGAAGGCCTGGAAGTCAAGACCAGCACGGAACGGTTCATGGGCCTAGGTGGCACTGGCCCTCCAAAGAGGCAGAGGTTGGGCTGGCAAACGTCACCCAGGAGGCTGCTGGCATTTTGGAGGCTTTCCTGCAGATAACTGGGTGGGGCTCTGTGGACAAGACAGGACTCCCCCCCCCCCACTTGTCTATTATCCCTGCTGCAGAGCCTCTTCCCCAAACCAGCTTCATTGCTGGTTTGGCCCTGGAGCTCCCCCACTGATGGGGGCTTTGCCTTCCCTCCTGGCAACCATGACAGCGGTGGAACATTCCCAGGGCCCCCAGCGCCCCCCCCCCCCCAATCTCCTCTAAGAGGTCTTCTCGCCTTCTCTTTTTGTGGTAATTTCCCTTTGAAAAGTTGCTGAGCTGGGACTTCGGAAATCACATGGTGGCCTTCAGGACACCCACATCCTTTCTTACAAGATCAGCTACATTTTTGTTCCCATGGATTCAATTTTTTTTTTATTACCGGTTCTGTGGACGTGGCGTGGTGGGCATGGCAGGGGAAGGATACTGCAAAATCCCCCATTCCCTCCCCACTCTGGGGTCAGCCAGAGGTGGTATTTGCTGGTTCTCTGAACTACTTACTCAAATTTTCCACTAGTGGTTCACTAGAATTGGTCAGAACCAACTGAATCCCACTTCTGACACCAAGCACTTTTCGTTTATTTTATTTTTTTGTTTTAATATATTTTATTTTCATTTTCATACACTCACATGTATACACCATACAGTATTAAACA